ATATTCGTAACTCAATCAATTTTTATTTAAATAATTTTTGTAATTCTAATGTCCTACCGGCCATCATGTGCACCAAATGATCTACACTTCTGTTTTCTCCTTCTTCACCTTTTTTTTTTAGAATAAATTGTAGCTATGGTCCCTTAACTTTAATTCAGTTGGAGCAATGGTCCCTCAACTTTAATTCAACTAGAGAAATGGTCCCTTAACTCTAACCCAATTGTAGCAATGGTCCTTCTAACATAACTCGTTTTGACAAAAATTTTGACGTAGTTGACGAAAATGACCATAATTACACACTTTGATGAGTTGAGAGACCCTAATTGTATAAATGGTCGTTCTAACATAACTTACTTTGACAAAATTTTGACGAAATTGATGAAAATGACTATAGCTATACATTTTGATAAGTTGAGGGACCAATGGTAATGGATTTTTAGTTGAGGGACCATTGCTACAATTTACTGTTTTTTTTATGTAAGTTTTGTTGTCCTTATTATTCTTTGATTTATTCAATCCTAATGCTATAAAAAGATAGAGGAGTGTAGAGGAAGAAAAAGAGATTGAGAAGATCATTTCTCACAACGCTTGTTGTGTAGATTATTGACAAAGTGCATAATGTCAAAATGTAAAAAATAAAGTCCAACATTGGAAATGGACAAAACCTTACAATGACTTGTAAATTAAAAATGTGCTCGTATCTTTCTCAAGTAGTTAAAGTTCTAAAAATCTGAAAAATTGGGTTTATGGTCTTTAAAACATCCAAAACATTAGGCTTTTTTTTTGTATGACCTCTCAATCGAAACTTATCTCGATTTAAAATCGTATCAATTGAAAAAATTGGTGTTCAAGCTCAAGTTGAAATTTATTTAATATGTCCACCAGAATTAGACGATTAGATCGAATACGTGATCCTCAAAATTGAGAGATAGAAGCATACAAAAATGGATAGAGCTTAGGAACCATACCTTTCATGATTATCTTGTACGTATATGATTATGTGACATTTGAATTATGTTACATATATGATCAAACAAAAATCAATAATTTAGCGGTTATAGTGTCACGATTCATATCCCAATTGTATCTATAGTGAAAAAGTAAAGTTAATTTGTAAGCATATGAATCTATACTACTATGTAAAGCCAGCCCCATTTAGAGCCACGAGCTTCACCAAAAATAACGGGTCAAAAATGTCCCCCAAACAAAAAAGTTCAAAAGTAGCTCAAAATAATGCATCAAATAATGTAGGGGTATTTTCGTCATATAAACTGTGTTTTTTTTTAATTAAATTTTTTGTGCAGTTTTTTATTTTTATTTTTTTAATTAGTACCTCACAATAAACTAGCAATAATGTGATTCAATTAATTGTTTATTAAATATTATTTTCTTTATTTTTAAACACGTTCAAAACATCTTAAGAGGCGTAGTACCGATTATCAAAAAGGTCTCTCACATGCATAATAATGTGATTTAATTAGTTGTCAAATGATTTTTTTTTTTTTTGAACAAAAAATATTTTCTACACTAAAGGGGAGGGATGAGATTAGCCTTACAATGTGCTAGTAATAATATAATTAAAAAATTATTTAGTCTCGCGTAACACGCGTGATTCAAAAAATGAAGGCTAAAATAGTATAAGGCCATGCAGAGTTTGAGCATGTAAACTGTAGCATCGGATGCCTTTAATTAGAGTTTGTTACATTGTTTGTGTCTCATCACTAATTGGTAATTACTTTGAAACACTTGGCGTGCGAATGTACTCTAATGATGGGAACTCACTTTCCCTGAGACCACCACTACCACAAGACAACGCACGCCTTCAATCCCCAATAATTTTCTTCATCCCTTACATATGGCCGATATATCTCAATCAATAAGGTAATCTGTGAAAAGTAACATTTATCAACTAAATTGAAGGATAAAAAACGTTAACATATATGACCTCTTACGCTTGTTTGAATGGTGAAAATTTGTGTGCAGATTCGAAGACAACTAAGCGAAATTCACGAAAACTTGTCAGAGATCTAAAATAAGAATAAAAGCTGTAATGTGGTAAAACGTTAGGGTTCAATATTTTGACATTTTGATACTTATAAGCAAAGTTCTAAAAGGCGTTAGGCGCTAGTCGGCCAACGGGTACGAGTCTAATGTCTAGACATCTAGACGGTGCCTAGGCGATTTTTTTCTTCTTTCAATTTTAATTAAATATATTATATAACATATAAATAAGTGTCTATTTATACTTAAAGAAATTACATAATTGTATTATGATACATAAATTGTAAAATAAAATAACATATAGATTACAAAGTATTATAACATATTAAAAATATGGAGAACAAATATATAATGAGTATTCATCTAAGTATCCAACAAATCTCTTACAATTTACTAAAAAAATAAAATGTAAAATAGAAGTTATCTATTTTATGTCTAAGTGAGAGTCGTGACTTAGGCGAGTGCCTATGTAGGCTAGGCAAGCACTCTTTTTTAATTTTTAAATGCCTAAATATTAATCGTGAAGTTGGTCAGTTGCCTAACGCCTAAACATGACTTAAGCAGTGCTAGACATAAATTTTTAGAACACTACTTATAAGATGTCAAGGAAAAAAGATCCCTATCATTCGGCGGAAGGTGAAACCTAACTTAGGTAGGTGAAAAGCTACACAAGTAGTCATTTGACACAATATAAGATTTTGGTTTTACATCATGAGAAGGGAACAAAATTTGACTTCACTTAAAGCATGCATATTCAAACCTTAGAATTCACTCATAAAAGCGACCACCAATCATTAACTTTAGGACCCTGCTCTCCATGCCATTTATACATACATGCATTCATAAATATAACAAAATACATGCCATTATCACGAATGGTTTGATGATTTTGACTTGAACCAAATAAGTTTTTGTTTGTATCACCATTCTACACATATTAAAGGAATGTTGGTGGCGGTATTGGAGGATAACTTACATGGTATGACACTGTTGGTCTGTTATATAATGTTTTGTGTCAATGAAAATAACGATATGTAAAAACATTTGTACATATCTTTATTTTATCGACATGAGATGTTTATGTAATAGTATATTTGTATTATATAAGTTCTTCTTAGTGGTGGTGGAAGATCAAATAATAGCAAATGTAATAATATGTGGTCGGAACTACTTGTGGCTTGCCTTGCATTAGAAAGAATGAGGATCCTCTCCGGATCCTCTTTGTGAGGATCCAGGGATCCTCCAATCGTGTCTATTCATTGTATATCGTGTGGTAAAAAATTATTGGAATTTTTTTATTTAAAATTGAACATACACAGTACCTGACAAAAACTAACTGCACGATGTATAATAAACAAACACGATTGAAGGATCTCGAGGATCCTCACAAAGAAGATCAGGAGAGGATCCTCGTTCCATTAAAAAACCCTAAACATATATGACCCACCGCAGGTGGAGGTGGTGGGTAATAATCACAAATCAAAATCATGGAATTATCAAAAGTGGTCACACCACTCTCTCCCTATCCAAATTTTGATTGTTCCTTTCTTTCTTCTTTTTGACCTTTTCTTTGTTTGCTCTTCCTCACGTGAATTGTGCAATATTTTCCCTAAAATAGACCGACTTACTTTACTTTTTACGTTATTATTTTAAATTACACTAATTTTAAAAAAATAAAAAAAGATTCAAATTTGAATGCAAAATTAATAAAATCTTGATCTGACCAACTGTCATAAACTCTCGGTCGTATGAAAGGGAGTTCCTCCCTTAATAGACCTTAATTTCCAAAGTTTGTTTTGATGCTAATGATTTCTATATTCCTTGCCATTTCTAATTTATCTTATATGGTCTCATAGTTCCATAGGGCCAATATCAGTTATTTCTTGGATGAAACATAAGTTGGTACATGACTCGTTTCTTACCTTATTGCTACAAGATGTTAACTTAGTTAAATGGTTTGCTAAAGTAATTTCATAACTTAGTAGGCAGATGATGCTTATAACTTAGTTAAATGATTCACTAAAGTGTCTGGGTTTCCTTTTGGTGACGAGCAAAAACCCCACGATTTAATACCTTGTTGGCAGTGGCAAAATATTTAAAGATCATTTTCAAGCCTTAATGTGTTAAAGATCATTTCAAATCACATGTATTAAATTTTTGCACGTATGAGGGTTCATGTCCAGTGGTGAATGTACATTGAAACCAAGATCTTATCAGTACCACTCGGAGTTCAGGGAATATACATGTGAAAATCTTTCGAGGACTATTTAAATGTTTGGCATGAGTATTTTTTTATGTCCACAAGTGTTTGATATAATGTATGCTAGGCATATCTCGGTAGAACTCGACAGGCTGAGTCGAGAGTACTCAACACATTCTCTCGATAGCACTCATCAGATTACTTCGTCATCTGTCGATACCTATTGACACGTGCGTAACATGGTTCAACTGACAACAATAAGATCACTAAGTGTTCGACAAAATGCCTCAGTAATTAAACTAAAATATTTGTGTATGCTTCGCACTCTATTTCAGCTAAAAAACTTGTACTTTTAAAGCTCAAACCCCTAATATTCGAATCCTAGATCCATCACAGTTCATATCCCATTAATTACACCAATTTACCACCATCTCACCTCCCTTTATTTTCGGCAGGATATTTTTCCCTCCCGGAGTCTTTCACTTTTACAGAGTTTTACGGCCGACAAAAAGTACAATAAAACATGTCAAAGTTGTCAAACCAAAATAACTACTTTTTCTATATTTCCCGCTTTTTTGCCGGTTGGTAATGAGAGGTTTTGACTTTACTATGTGAACAAAGTAACAAACCTCTCCTTTCTGTCCTTTCTCATCATCTCCTTAATTTTTAAAAAATTAAATTAAATCCTATCACAGCAGAGAGCAACAAAAAACATGAGTGTGATTACTAAACCACCACACCACGCCACACCCCACACCACCCACCACAACCCCCCCCCCCCCCCCCCCCCCGGAAAAAAAAAAAAAATTAAAGGCAGAAAAGCATGACCCACCAAAGAGGCCCATTGCTTTGGACAATTGCAATCTGTGTTTTGCACACCACCTGTTTGACAAAAAGAAAAAAAAAATGGCCAAACAAGTTCACCACCAACATCAACATCTCCAACTGGGTTGTTGTCTCTGTCTCTCTTCCCAGTACTTCACTCTTTCAACCCCACCATTACCATTTTTTCATCTTTGCCTTGACATTCCAATTTCCTCTCTTGGGTGCCATTTTCTCGCCCCATGGACCGCGGCGGTGACAAGCATCAGCAGCAGCAGCAACCACAACTATCCGTGGCTAAGAGTTCGCGGCAGCAGCGATACAACGAGTGGTTTGTTTCTTGATTTTCATATGTTTTTTTATGTTTGTATTTCAACTTGAGTACTTTTAATTTTATTTTGTAAGTGTTGCCTACACTACCTAGTGATTCTATAAGTGGTGTTTTGATATATATATTTATGTGCTATGTTGTGCAGATGCATGATAAACAAAAGATCAATGGTTTCTGATTGTTCTCTTGATATGTATTCTATAAAGAAACTTTTTTTTTCCTCATTGATTTTTGTCATGTGCAAATATCTGCAACGGTTTTGTATGAATGTTTACTTGTTGATCTTTTGCAGGATTTTTCGGGACGTTCCAAGCGATATTACAATACAAGTAAATGGAGGGGCTTTCTCACTACATAAGGTAACTACCTTTGCTGTTTTATTTACTTCCAATTCTTGAAAATGATTCTTTAAATTCACTGTGTTGATGGAATTTTGATATATTATGGTGCTTCTGAATGCAGTTCCCTCTGGTCTCCAGAAGTGGGAGAATCCGGAAGTTGGTTGCTGAACACAGGGATTCTGATATCTCAAGAGTGGAACTTCTTAATCTACCGGGAGGTGCAGAATCATTTGAGTTGGCAGCAAAGTTCTGTTATGGTATTAACTTCGAGATCACATCTTCAAACGTTTCTCAGCTGTGTTGTGCTTCTGATTACCTTGAAATGACTGAAGAGTACTCAAAAGATAATCTTGGTTCGCGTACTGAAGAATACCTTGAAAGCGTTGTTTGCAAGAATCTTGAAATGTGTGTTGAGGTTTTGCAACAATGTGAGAGTTTACTCCCTCTGGCCGATGAGCTGAGAATAGTTAGCCGTTGCATAGATGCAATAGCCTCAAAGGCTTGTGTAGAGCAAATTGCTTCGAGCTTTTCGCGCTTGGAGTATAGCAGCTCGGGGAGGCTTCACATGAACAGGCAAGCCAAATCTGATGGGGACTGGTGGATAGAAGATCTTTCAGTTCTTCGTGTTGACTTGTACCAAAGAGTCATAACTGCCATGAAGTGCCGCGGAGTCCGCCCTGAGAGTATTGGTGCATCACTTGTGAACTATGCGCAGAAGGAGTTGACAAAAAAGTCCAGCTTATGGAATATGTCTGGCCAGACAAAAGTTGACGGAATTTCAGCTTCAACTGGGCATGAAAAACTCGTGGTTGAGACAATTGTCAGCCTTCTGCCCGTCGAGAAACTTGTTATTCCAATCAATTTCTTATTTGGGCTTTTGCGAAGCGCTGTAATGCTTGATTGCACAATTGCTTGCAGACTTGATCTGGAGAGGAGAATTGGGTCACAGCTGGATATTGCTACTCTTGATGATCTTCTGATCCCTTCTTTCAAGCACGCTGGTGACACTTTATTTGATGTCGATACAGTGCATAGGATTTTAGTTAACTTTTCTCAGCAAGATGATAGCGAAGAAGATATGGAAGATGCGTCTGTTTTTGAATCTGATAGTCCTCATTCACCTTCCCAGACCGCTTTGTTTAAAGTTTCAAAGTTGGTGGACAATTACCTTGCTGAAATAGCTCCTGATGCAAACCTCAAGCTTGCTAAGTTCATAGTCATTGCTGATGCTTTACCTGAACACGCACGAACAGTTCATGATGGGCTATATCGAGCCATTGATATTTACTTAAAAGTATGTCATTCTTATCTTTCTTTGCCATTAGTCTTGATTAAGATGTTTTGCTATAACTATTCTTTCATGAATTTCGATTGATTTATATACGTTCTTTCTGTGACAGGCTCATCAAGGTTTAACAGATACAGACAAGAAGAGGCTCTGCAAAATGATTGATTTCCAAAAGCTCTCACAAGAAGCAGGTGCACATGCTGCACAGAACGAGCGCCTCCCTCTCCAGTCAATAGTACAAGTGCTTTATTTTGAGCAAATAAGGCTCAGAAATTCCTTGGGCTGCTCTAATGAAGATGAACCCAAGCCAATGCACCAGTCATGGCGGATCAGCAGTGGTGCGCTCAGTGCAGCGATGTCTCCACGAGACAACTATGCATCATTGAGGAGAGAAAATCGTGAGCTAAAGCTTGAGCTAGCTCGGTTAAGAATGAGACTAAATGATCTTGAGAGAGAACATGTATGCATGAAGAGGGATATGCAAAGGTCCAACTCTCGTAAATTTATGAGTTCTTTCTCCAAGAAGATTGGCAAGCTAAGCTTCTTTGCAAATAGTTCTTCAAGGGCATCCACGTCTCCGTCAAGGCATTCTTATAGGACTGATTCTAAAGTGATTGAGAGAACGTGTGCAAGCACAGATTAGGTAATTCACATTGTCAGGAACTTTTTATGTCTTTTTAGTAAGTGCAAGCCTTATGAAATTTTCACTTGTGTATGCGTCTTTTGGCCTCCTTGTAAAAAAGATTTGTGCTTTGAGTTAGCGATAGCGGGGAAAGATCTTGATTGTAAGTGATGCTTTTGGTTGAGTACAGTTTTTACATTTGTTTAAATTCTAAATCATTAAATTAAATTTCAACTTAATTGCAAAATGTAGCAGGTTAAGATTAAATAATATAGACTCTATGCTGGATATGTAGAACAAACAAATAAACTTATACAGCTGCTCTAATAAGGTAACAAAACATTGGTGCGCATAATCAACGTACAAAAACACGGTTTAGTAAATGCCTTGCAGGACTAATCTACTTGAGAAGCCTTGGAATTGCACCCGAGACCCAGTAGCCTCTCTTTGTCGCTCCTCTTCCTTGTTTGGCACGGTAAAATTTACCTTAAGGCGAAGCGACTTACGAGCACTTTCAGGTTTTCTTATACAAGATTTCAGCAAGGTGCTCTCCCTAATATTAAGATCAGCAAGTTTGACAGTAATGTCGTTGTTGCCATCATCATATTTTCTATGACGTCTAGTTTCATTTCTTGAATGTATCAGAGGTTTGTGCTCAGATTCTCCACGAGTTTTCTTGTTTGTGGATGACAACTCTACTTTGATATCTGTTTGGAGTCTTCTGTCAGAGTCAGCTTCTTCATCACTCAGGCTAGGGCTTACAGTAGCACAAGCGAAAAACCGAAGCTTAAGCCTTCGCCTCTGCTCGTGGTGCTTCGGTGTCATACCAGCATACTCCTTGGGAGGAGAACTATGTTCATATACTTGATGGTGGCCATGAGCCTTAACAGATTGTTTATGTTCAATCAAAGGAGGAGGCTGATAGCCGTGCTCTCTGGCTTTAAGCAACTGATAAATCGTTCGGTTAGGAACTATAAAAAACACTTTCCCGGGAATCAAAACTGCTTCAGGCTTAACCACAATCCACGGGAACTCAAAGATGTCTGGCCTAGTTATGCTGTGCCGGGGGTACCTTCTCATCACCTCTTCAGCTGTTACCGGTTTCTTGTGAACCTCCAAACGCCTCCCTGGACGCACCAATTTCAGCACGCCTTCCTCCCTCGCTACACTTCCCATCGCCAAATCAAATGCCGGTAATATCTGATCAAGTATTTTTTCCTAAGCAGCTAGGAATTACTGGACAATACGTCGAGGAAGAGGAGCTACCAGGCTGCTCAAATTTGCTTCTTATAGTGGTAATAAACTCACTAGCAGATGGAGTTTTGGTGGAGAAACTTATGAAGAATCTTTGGAGGGGAATGCCAAAATTAGCCGGAGGAATGTGACTTTTCTTTGTCCACATAGATTCTGTACGCATTTGAGTAGATTCTTTGTTTGTTTTACCAAACTTTGTTTGGTGTTTGTGAAGGGTCTTATTCTTAATCTTAACACTTGATTTGGCTGCTCAGAGTCCCAAAGGACTCCATAGTTGAGCAATGCGACAACATGGGCGCCTACATGGTGGGGCAAAAGACACTAGTATGGAAAGGCACCAACTTATTGTACAAACTTTTTGCATTCCAACAGATGCAAACAATAGAGGTGTGTTACTGGAATGGAGTCGTCTACGACTAGGTATTGAACTCATCATAAATGTCTATTATCACACAGGTGTTAGTCGAGTCTAAAATCTTAGATTAAACCAAATGTTAGTGGAGCTTCTATTTATGCTAAATTATTATCTCTGCCTACCCATCAAACTCTTAATTAACAAAATTTTACAATTTTTAAATAGTTTATTCTTCTTACTCAACCATTCTTCCAAAATTACCTCTTAGAAGGCTATGTTTGACAGACTGGGGGATTTCCTAGTCTCAGGGGATTGATGTCAAGTAAGGAACTTATTACAAAATGGCAGATCCAAGGGATTAAAAATGCTCTTTATGATCGTTACTAAGGCACACGAGAGGGACTTGTAAATGCATCAGTGATTTGCAAATCTCTCTTACATATCTTTGAAAAGAAGAGGTAGTGATTGAGTATAAACATACGCTTATTATATGATATTGACAAGTTAGTAGGTAATTTTTATGTTCTTTTTAACTTGTCACATACTTTTCTTTATTTTTAGTCATGAAATTGAATATATCAAACAAAAACAACAAAGATAGCTAAGAGCTTATTGGAAGTGTTTTTAAAATAACTGAAAATGCTTTCAGAGAAAATACATTTAGTTTCAAAAACACTTCAAGTGATTTCTGGCAAAAAACACCAGTTATCTGCTTCTTTCAGGAAACAAGTGATTTTCTATGACCACTTACTTACATTTTCATTAAGAATTGGTTTCAAAAATATTTTTACCAAAAACGATTTCAGACATTTTAAAAACACCCACAAACGAGTTCTACGCAAATATATCATTCTTCAAGTAAAGATAACCAGTTGGGGACCTGAGGATTATTGTGCTCAAAATATCTAGTGGTGCGCAGTCAAAGCAGAGCCTCAAGAGCAAGAGGTTTTTTTTATATACCCGGAACACAGGGTATATAAAAAATAATTTGTGTTAAAGCAGAGCCTCAGAGCCTCAGAGCCTCAGAGCCTCAAAGCAGAGCCTCAAGAGCCTCAAGTAATATTTTGTGTTAAAAAATTAATAATACAAAAAATAAAATTTTCACTACTTATATAATAACACATAGTGTACCACTATGTGTTATGAAAACAAAGAATTTAAGAATGTGTGGCAAAGAACATTATGATCCAATGGAGGTGCCTCGAGATCATCGGCACCCGTTGACGCTGATCCTACTCTTTTATTGTTTCCTCCTCCATTATTCGGGAAATTTTTCATTGTGACAGGAATACAAATGGTCCATCACGTATTTTAATAAAAATGATGAAAATTTTTATTTTTTAAATTATTAACCTTTTAGCACACATATTTCACTATTTGTATAATGACATGTGATGTACTATCTTATGTACTGATTACACGGAAAAATCTCTCCCATTATTCCACTACTTCCATTTAAATCAAACTTGTCTTGTTTTGCCTTCTGGCTTTTGCTACTTATTTCCTTGGTTTTTTTTTTTTTAATTAATTAATTTATTTTTTTCTACTTATTTAATTAATGGATTATCCAAAATTGGTCCTACCTAAACCATATAGAAACTTTCCAAAAATGGATAGATATCAAACCAAAGATTTTGGTCATAAACACTCAATCACCCAAACTTCAAAGAAAAAAATTGTAGGTTAGAAGAAAAATTGATAATTAAGTATTAAACAAAAACCTTAAAATAGTTTAACCAAAGGAAGGAGCTCATCGGCAATTCATTTTTCATATTCTAATTGATTTTTAATCGTGATGTGATATATATATATATATATTTTTTTTTGCAAAGTTAGCTCAATATCTTTCTAAATACTGGTCTGAAGTGTTTCTCTTTAAAGAGTAATGTAATAGATGACTAATATGCATAAAGAAAAAACAAAACAGAAGTCATGACTATTGGTAGCAAAAGCTAGAAGGAAAAATAAGAAACAAAACAAGCCAGAAGCACAATTCCACTACTTCCACTTAAATCAAACTTGTCTTGTTTTGTTTCTTGTTCTTCCTTTTGGCTTTTGCTACTTATTTTAATAATGGATTATCCAAAAATGGTCCTAAAACAGATTGAAACTTTCCAAAAATGAAAGATATCGAACCTTACAGGGTTCCTATATGCCCCAAGAATTTGATCATGGTACTCAATCACCCAAACTTAAAGAGGAAAAAAAATTGTGAGTTAGAAGAACACGTCTCATAATTATAAATTTTATACAAAAACAGTGAAGTATTTTAATTGGAGGAGGGAGCTCATCGGCTATTCATTTGTTATATTCTAATTGATTCTTAATTGTGATAATTCTTTTGCAAAGTGAGCTCGATATTTTTTTTTAAAATTTTTTGTAAGTATTGGTTTGAAGTGTTTCTCCTCAAAGGGTATGTAATGGACGATTGATTTGCGTAAAATAAAAAACAAAACAGAAGTCATGACTATTTGGTAGTGAAGAACTTTTCTGCATATGCCACTATATCGATTCTCTTACTAATCATGTATTGCTATGTGTAAATGTTAAGACACATGACAATAGGTAATTCAAAATATCGTCGTAGTGGGATCTATATAGTAGGCAAGTTTCTCTACTAGTTGTGGCCTCCATGAAGAGAGAGGCCATGGTCGACCATGGCGCTTGCATGTTCGACCATCACCACGGAGATGGAGGTCATGGTCCACCATGGGTTTTGCACGTGTTTTCTTTTATCCAAAATATGTTTTTCGTTGTTTTCTGATTTTCAAATGAAGGTAGAAGTAGGCAAGGGCAAAATGGGAAAGGAACCCAACATCGTTTTTGTATGTTGGGTGTAGTGATGGAATCGCTGGGTGTAAATAGCTGGTCTGTAAAACTTATGTGGGGCCCTGAATCAAGCCCCAACAACCAGTCACAATTTTGTGTGTATTGGGCCATGATCAGTCCCACGACATGTCGTATCAGCAACCACAACTCATAATTCAAGTGAAGTTTGAAAGCGAAGGCTTAAACTCATTACCAGAAAGAAGTCAAATATATCCTAACATCCCTTCATCAACAGCATTTCCAAACCCAAAAACTAACAAAGGGTCATTGCGACCCCGTCATAAACTTATTCGAAAGCATTCTCACTTCTCCTTCGGCTTCTACATTTATGTTGTTGACGATTTGGTGTAGAAGCGGACGCCAAAGGCTAAGCCCAAAATTAGCAGAGGAACAAGGAACTGGAGGAGTTTGATGACGAAATCAGTTGTCTTGTCCTGGTTGTAGTGAGGCTGCTTGGGAGGAGTGTACATCCTCTTCGCGGGGATGGATGCTGAATCAATGTCTCCAACGTAAAATTCGTCCATCATTGCTCTAGCAGTGGAACTGTGGCCAATATCTTCGAAATCATTACTTGCATCCTTTCCTGCAAACCAAAGATCATATTAGGACCATGAATCACATCGAATCAATAGGTTTCTGTTTCGGCCTGTATATTGTGTTGTGTGCATATGAAAAGGGAAACAATTTTGTTTGTTTGAGAGAGTGTCACTGTGTTGTACCTGTGGCTGCCAATAAGACCTCATCACCACCAGGATGGTCCTCCAAGAATTTTGTTACATCATATACCTGTTCCAACACTTTTATCACAATATAAATAATCTACCCTCACTTGACCGCAAAATTTCTTCCATATTGCTACTCCCTCCCTAAATGATTGGCACTGAACACACACAAAGAGCAACACATTTTTCTTTGAGATACAAATAATTGACAAATGGAAGTATTATTACCGTCAAATTTTGTAATATAAAACTGAGGGCACATCAGTTGGTAATGAACGTGAACAAAGTGGACCGAACAGATAATCTACGCTTACTAAGAAGGGAACCTGAACTATGCCAAGTTAAATCAGCTACACTAATACCACTTCAACAAGGAATCGAAGAGGGCTAGCCGGCTGGGAATCGGCTTTGTAAAGTCCATCTGCAACATTTGCACCATTTTTTATTTGCTGTGCCTTCATGCAATAATTTCATTAAACTTAATCAATCATTTCACCCCCAACTAAAATCTTAATAATTAGCTATTCTCCGCAGTGTACCACCCATTTTAAGAGAAACCAATGCACAGTAAGCACAAGTTATCGCCTTTCGAGGCGATAAATTCACTAAAAACACAAAAGAAATGCACATCCATCAGCAGTTGAATCATGCTCCTATAAGTTGAAATCTATATCTCAACCAATGTCTATCAATCTGACTCGTACCAATCTATGAACTTGTAATTTTCCTTGTTTTTATGGCAATCTCGAACACATTTCATCCTGATCTTAGTCCAACATGCAGTCAGAATATGAACCAATATTCAACCATACCAGTCAAAACCCACCAACAAACACTTCACCTAGATCCAATCAGAGCAAAACCCAAATTCAACCACACACGCAAATCCCAAAATTTAACTGAAAACTGCAGTTCAGAAGAAGCAAGAACATTACCTTTCCATCGATGACAAGCCAGCAGTCCTTGCGATCACTGTGAGTGGAGACCTCAGCCAAAGTATAAACCTTTTTGTCTCCAGCCATTGTCGTCGGAGGAGGAGAGTCAGAGGCCGATCTGCTTCTTCACTTCTAAGACTTGGAAATGCAGAGATTTTGAAGATTTCACAGAGTTTGATTTGAAAGAGTAAAGAAGGGAAGGTGGGTTGGTGGTTTGATTGTGCGGGAGTTGGGCAAGTAAAGGGGTGGGATGACCCCTTGGTCCACCAACCGTCCACCAACCACAAACTGCCTATACGTTTGGTGGTTTTTTTATTTTTTAATGTTCATATTCCACATAGTAGTAAAGCTAGCTTGTTTGTTTTTTTTTTAATTTTTCTGAACAAAATAAAGCTCGTTTGCTAGCTTTTTATTTTCATCCGTCTTGTGTTTTGATCAACTTGAGGGACATCAAAAGTTTGTGCATGCTTGTAGCTCGAGTAGTAAATATCTTGTTCACACATTCATGCTTAATATTTGGTTGCGTAGGCAGAGTTTTCGTCAATGAATCGACTCTACAACTTGTACAACGGTCATATCAAACTCTTGTCGATATGATCATAACTTGAGATAGTGCATTTCATGATTCTCACTAACTTGTTTTGTTAATTTCAAAGACTTTCTAACACATATCTTTTGTATTGCGTATTTGTGATCCTTTGGTCTAGAAAAATTCTTCTACATAGTTGCATGTATGCAGAAACTCTCACATCGATGGGATCACAAGGTACCTTAGATGCTATAAACACAATGACTCTCTATTTGGTGAGTGGCCGCACATACTTATGATTCTTTAGTCGCACACTAAAATTTCTCCTCAGACCGAGATGCATCTAAACTTTACACTACTCTAAAAACACATCATATTGTTAAGTAAATGCTTGGTAATTTATCATCTAGCACTCACTTTCATATCTAAATCACTCCAAAAGAATTGTCGTAAGGAAATAGGATTTGGTTCACAAATTTTCTGTAGTGCACATCAAAAGAAAGTTCATTTCCGTACAAGAGTGCACCAGAGAAAACTTCTTGGTTCTACCATCCAAGTCAATAAAAAGCCCAATTACTGGCTGAATACAAAACATTATTAGAAATGTTCAAAGCCCAATAGTCGGCCCAAAAACCAATGCAGGGCCCGCGGTTGACAAAACCCTTAGCTGTGAAAGAGAATCCGAGTGTGCGAAATTGGTGTCCGGCTCAGGAATCTGCGCGAAGCGAGTGGTGGTAGTGACCAAGGACCTTCTCAACGGCCAGCCGACCGCAGTCGTGCGCGCCGAGCAGATCGCCATATCAGGAGGTCTGGTGAGGCAGAAGCTGAAGTACATGAAGTTCCTCAGGAAGCGCATGAATACCCAACCCTCTCCCCCCAAAATCTTCTGGCGCAACGTCCGAGGGTAATGCCGTAATTTCGTAATTCACACTTTGTTCCTCTGCTTCAAAACTCACTGTTTTAATGGCGATTGGTTTGTATTTTTTTTTCGGGATGATTCCGCACATGTCTAAGTGCGGGCTCTGGCGAGCTGAAGGTTTACGAGGGCATCCCACCGCCGTATGACTAGACGAAGAGGACGGTGGTTCCTGATGCTCTCAAGTGAGCATGGTGGTGGTGTGACTTTATTTTTGTTTTCTAAGTGTTTGATGAATTGCTTCAGTGAATTGGGGTTTGTGATCAATTGTGAATTAGGGATTTGAGGCTTCTGAAGGGCCACAAATACTGCTTGTTGGGTCAGCTTTCGTCTGAGGTCGGATGAAACCATTATGACACCCTTAAGATAAGATGAATTTCAACTCAAAAGATTTATGCTTTTTACAATTCGTGTTTAATGATGTCGAAATTTGTTAACATTGCCCTTTATTTGTTGTAAGTAATTTGAATGTAGATTGTATTTTCTTGTAATTTGAATGTGGTTTGGATGTAATTTGAATGTAGATTGTTGTTAGCCACAGCAGAGTCGATACATTTGTTACCTTACGGAGTTATCTTCATACTTTACATTTTTCGCTCGTTTCACTTGTTGGTGTTATGATGTTTATTTATTTATTCATCCATGAATACGGTGTTTATGATCATACATGGCTCTCTATGTTTTTAAAATTTCTTGAGATGTGCTCGAATTGGAAACTACCTTTAAGCTTGGCAATAGGTTTGCATTATACGTGTTTTTGCCTCCATGACATGATGTTCTCGGATTGACTATGAATGCAAAGTTACATTTGTTGGTAAAGTTATATGCCAAGTACCGAACATCTTTTTATTTCGTGTTCACAGGAGCTAGAGAACAAGAGGAAGGAGATGGCTCAGGTGGCATATGAGAGGAAGAAGCAGCTAACCAAACTTAGGTTGAAGGCTGAAAATCTGCAGACGAGAAGCTTGGTTCCCAGCTTGAACTCCTTTCTTCGGTGACATATTAAAAGTCTAGGGCTATGAAGTGGTGTCGTCTATTTTACCCTGCTAGTCATACATTTTTTTTGTTGCGGATTACATCTCGGTGAGTTTCCTTCTGCTTTTATTCGAGATTACATCTTAGTGAACTTCTTGTGGGGCATCTTGCTTTGAGGATCTTTTATTCTGATAATTTTAAATTAGGAACTTGTTTACCTGTGTTGAAGCGTACGGTTCTAATTTGCTTTATGGTATTTGTCTTTTTCCATAAAAATTTATGGGTCTAAATCTTGGCTTCTTTGTTGGCGCCACTTACTGCCACCAAAAGCTATGGCGCCACTTAGAGTTTTGTGTGTTTGCCTCACATTTTAGCTCGACATTTTCTGGCCTATCGGAAAACTGTAAACCTAATTTATAACCGAATTTTAGTTCAGGTATGATTTTTGGGTACATGTGGTGTTTGTACATGAGACAAACTCCCAAAAATGGGATTACACTTTCTACTCTCCCGAAATCTTTAGAGGATAACTTGGACTCTAGAACGTAGATTTTTGGATGAATTTTTCACAGTACAAATACAGGACTGGACATCCTACAGTAAACTGCATGATAACAAATATCTTTGTAGTGACGTCTCATTTACACGAAGGAATTTGAACATTACCCTCATTTCCAACACGGTGCTAAAAAAAATGCAGACCTCATCTGTTTCTGCGGTGTTGATGTTTGCCTTTCGGACAAGCCTTGGTTAGCATATCGGACTTGTTCTTGTCGGAATGTAACTTTCCAGCTTCAACATTTTCCTTCATGCACATGTCGGATCCAGTGATGCCTGATTTATTAGTGTATTTGAACTTGGAAGCGAAAACTTGGATTCTTCTTGAACCACGAAATCTTTAGAGGATGACTTGACTCTAGAATGTACATTCTTGACTTGGAAGTGAGAAGTTGGATTGGTCTTGAATCTGGACGCTGGCTGATCATATGTAACGCAAAGAAGTTAGCAAGAAATGTAGAAAACAACCTGCAATTTGTTGAAATGATGGTAAAAGGTGTGGAAGTAAATATTTAAGACATAAAACTTGATGAATAATTTGGTTTGACAAGAAATTACCTCTGACGTTTAGAATGTGAGAAATCTCAGGCCAACATTCAATCTTCATTCCCATCATAAATCAACTAATTAACAAAAAATGAGGTTCGGTCAATACTCAATAGTGGAGACGAAGAAGAAAGGAAAAGGTGAAAGAAAGGGAATCGAACAAATGAATTATTTGGTTTGAGAGAAGAAATTACGGTCCGCGTATGGAATATCAGAAATCTTGGGCCACTCAGTGCCGGTAAGCATGGCGCATCTTTCCTTCAGAATGGGACATCCTGAAATTATTAGATGTTCTAGTCTGGTGAGGCGTTGCATAGCTTGGATGGAAGGCAGAGAGTTGAGATTCATGCAATTGTAAATCTCTAGTTGGTAGAGAGATGTAAGGTCACCCAACCACTCTGGAAGAGTCTCCAGCCCATCACAATCATGTATTGTTAAATGTGTTACAGGACTAGTCGAGTGATGAATTACTTGAGGCAGAGACTTGAGCTTAGGCCACCCGCCGAATTCTAACCAGTCTGATGATTGAATTTGCGGAACCGGGAAAGAATCGAGCTCCTCCCACAACCCACCAATCTCCAATCTCTTCAGACGAGTCAGAGTGTGTAGACCCGTCGACAAGTATTGTAATTTCTGACAATTACGTATTCTTAACCTGGAAAGAGATTGCAAGCTAGTTACATCGACATCTGCCAAAGATATCAAATTTTTGCACCTTTCAATTTTCAACTCGACAAGGGAGGTGCAATCGCGTAAAGAAATCTCCTCAAGAGTACTGATAGAGTAAATGTTCAATTCCGGTCCACCGCAACTTGCAATAACCAATTTCCGGATGGCGGTCAGACTCTTCCCCTTATCGGCAACTGAACTCCAACTTAACTCAGGACAATTCACTATACTCAACTCCTTAAGAGATTCATGACGGCCTTCCAGACTTAATAGTTGAGCACAATCTTCAATTACAAATTGCCCAAGGGATGGCGGGAATACATCTGAAATCGGAATGGATACTAAGTTTCGGCTACCACTTATTTTCAATCTCTCAAGTGCGTTGCAATGTTTCAACCCACTCGGTAAGTCTGAAAGCTTCTCGCAACCCTCAATCACTAATCCTCGAAGACATGGAATGATTGGAATGAATAGTAGACTAGGACAATTCCTTATAGTCAACTCCTCAAGAGTAGCAAGTGTTTCTAGCCCATCAACCGAAACATGCCTCAGCCTTTCACAATTGTCGATACACAGCGAAGCAGGGGATGTACAATCCTGTAAAGACAACTCCTCCAGTGTAGTACTGCTGCCGATAGACAATTCCGGTACACAACTTGCGATAAGTACAAGTTTACGGAGGGTCGTCAGACCGTGGTTTGAAATGCATATTAACTTGGGGAATTTATAAATGGTCAACTCCTCAATAAGAGAGATGTCTAACCCATCAGCTGAATACTGCCTCAATTGTTGAAAATCGTGAACACGCAGTGCACGAATAGAAGTGCAAGATTCAAGCCCAATCGATGCATAAGTTTTTAGTCCATCACAATCTTCAATGCTCAATTCACGGAGGGATGTGCATCCGTGTAAACTTGAAATTGACTCTAGACTTGTGCACGACCTTAAAGACAACACCTCCAGAGGGATATAGCATTCTGGTAGACTTCGCAGGTCCATTGATATTAATCCACCACATGAACTAATCTCCAATCCTCGAAGGGATGTTACACCGTGAACTGAAATGGATATCAGACTATCACAGCGGCTTATTCCCAAATTTTCAAGAGATGGACATTTTATGGACAACTCCTCAAGAGAAACTCCACTGTACAATTCTGGTCCACTATGCTGGCTGGTTGTTGTTAATTTACCACCACGTGAACTAAACAACAATTTCCGGATGGATGTCAAACCAAATAATGAAAGGGATCTAAGTTTGTCGCAGCTGCATATTTCCAGATTCTGAAGAGAGGTACACTTTTCTACCAGACTTGTTATGTTTGATAGCTCGTGACAAATACTCACCTCCAACTTACGAAGGGATGCAAAATGATCAGGAAAATTTCTTATTTGTGGACACTCCACGAGATCCAACTCCTCAAGGCGAGGAAACACCGATATTTGTTCTTCTTTCACCACTGGTGGTTCAATCCATTCGGTCAGATTTGGGGCCGCACTAATTCTGAACGTCTTCAATGCAGGAAACAATGCCTTGGTCTTCATTGCATCATCAACGTCATCATAGCCATAAAACTCATCTCCCAAACGTTTTAGATTACACATTGTATTAAACTCAAGATGCATAAGACTAGGTAGATGGCCAAGCATGGGGGCTTCTTCACATACGTCGCACTGAAGCAATCGAATCTCTTTCAAGTTGTTGTGTGGCTTCCAAGATGGAAATTTAGCACCCATGAAATTGCGAATCTCTAAAATTTCCAAATTAGGGTGTGGCTGGAGGCCTTGGAGAACATCTTCTTCACCGTTGTTGCATGGCCTCATTTCCTCACCCCATGCAAGTGATAACTTTCGTATGTTGCTCTTCTCAACTAAATTTGATTTCTTCGCTTCTTCTCCATCCCTCACATGTTCCAAATCATAAATAGCCAGTTCACCTTTCAAGTGGTTTAAGCCAGCGAATTCCTCAATTCCACGACCGGTTCCATCAGGACTCACAATAAAATAAGGCATGGTTCGAAGACTAGTTAATTGCCCAACCCTAACATGAGATTTCCTATACCAACCAAAATTAGCACGTTTCTTTTTTTGGACAAGACCAAAATAGATGTGTCTCAAGTTGATCAGATCTCCGATTTCCTTAGGAAACTCCTTCAGCCGTCTACAATACTCCATTCTTAATGTCTGTAAGTTATGGAGCTTGCCGACAGATTTGGGGATTGCTTCGATCTTTGTTCTAGAAACGTTTAAATACCTCAATTGCTTCAGTTTCCCAATTGATTTCGGCAGCTCCTTAATATCAGCATTGTAAAGATTCAAGACATGTAAACCCCTAAACCTTGGCAACATGTTACTAGGAACTTCATTATTAGAAAACAATGAGCGCAATCCCCTTAAACCTTTTTTTGGAATTGATTCCAAAACAGTAGTAGGAATGTGTGAAGCATGTCGAATCTTCAGTGTGCCAACCATCTCATTAGAATCTGAAGTCACGCTCTCAGATTTTGATAAAAGTTCTGCAAAATCATGCACAAGAACGTGCATCTTGCATCTGGCAACAACACCAAAGTCATCCTTTGTAAGATATTGAAGTAAGGAGTTTTGCAACAGAATACGAAAATAAACAGTGCCTATATCCTCCATCTCTAGATCACTATTCTCGGAAGAAGGGTGAAGCAATCCTTGAGCCATCCACAGTTGGATTAGGTCATCCCTTTCAATTTCAGAGCCTTTCTTGAACATTGAGCAATAAGTGAAGCATTGTTTCAAAAATGGGAATTTCAAATTATCCAAACTCAACTTCAATCCCGAGATGATCATCTCTTCTGCTTCTGGAGAGTCCCATATTTTACTTTCTAGAATTGTTGACCATTCATTTGCACCATTCTTAGAACGCAACATTCCTCCGAAAACCTGTTGGTTCATATATAGTTAGATTTGTTGTTAAATAATTCATAGATTGTATAACCGATTATAACAAGAAAAACATCAATTTGTAGTTTGACAGAAGCTGACTAATATGTGCACATTGTGTTGTATTGATGCAGACTATAACTTGGCTTGTCCATACAAATGTTTCATTTAAACTTTTTTATACTTACCAATCATGGTGTTGTTAACATTTCAATTGACTTCCTATATGGTTTAGATTTTTCGTGTGTGGCTGAGATGAGAGAATAGTAAATCTAGTACAAACATTTTGATCGACGTGAGAAATATATTTTATCTTAAATTGGTTCACTATGATCAAGTTTTGGTGGCTATAAGAAATTTGTAACCATCAACCTACAAGATCAATAATGCAACAATAGAAGTACATGGGTGAGGAGAAAGAGCAATGGCCTTTTTTAATGACCTTTATGCAATTCTACATTCCTTTTCTTTTTACTAGCCATTTAGTCGATAAAGAGAATGTTGGGACCCTGGCAATGTTAATGGGTCAATATACGTAAGAAGGTTAATGGATCACTTAGGCCCACTAAGGAGAATACTATATATCAAGGAGAATGACTTTCCAGTGGTCAACAATCATTACCGTCTAAGGGAGTGTATCTAGAAAAAGGGTCAAGTCTAGTCGGACTATCACGAGTGTTTAGGAAAGACAATTTATCATTATACTATGCTTATTGTAGCTCATTAGCAGGCCAACGTCCAAGTAAAAGATGAGAACATGAGTACATGTAATGCTTGCGGGACAAGGACATTGCTTTCATGAGAGATTCAATGTCTCGTCGGTGTTTTGGAAAGTCTACATTGCTATTGGAATGTCCAATGATGGCGTCTCTCTCATCTAAGATAGTTATATCTTGTTTAACACCCATAGTCCGAATATGAGCTAGCCAAGATTATATTTAACAAAGTCCTCCATGCACTGTGGGAGACCGAAAGACTTGAACAAACCTTTACAGTGTTAGATGAGACAAAAATTAGTGGAAGTGTTCATGTTATCAAGATGGGCCATTTTATTTGAAGATAATTGTTTCATGGTCAAGGAACTGTTGCGTTTGACATAGTTGATACAGTATTGTGACGATGATGCCACTTCCTCTGATGCCTCCTAATCCGAGGAAGCAAGATTATTATTGAATCAAGACAAAGTTGTTCAGTAGATGAACTGAACAACTTTTTGGGTCTTTGTTCAGTAGTATTATATGCATCAGAATCGTGAAGAAAAAAGTTGTTCGGTTGGAGGCTAGTGTGCTTGTGGGATGCTAGAGAATTTGGAAAATTTTCATTTTCATCAAGGTTATATTTGGGGAAATATTCAGCAACTGATGACAAGTTTGCACTTGTTTTGGTTGTAGCTACCACGCTAATACTTGGACAAAGGCAGGTGCTTATTGGCTCTAACTTAGCATAAACTACAATTACGGCATGCCGAGATGCCTTTATTTTGGGGGTAGGATTGTTAGGATGTTGGGATTTACAGCTCAAAATTAGGATGATGTAAAAATTAAGTTTGTGTTACCAATTTCGTTTTGGTGTTTTGTTTGAGTTTGGATTTGATTTCTTGGTTGGATTCCTTGCCTGATGGAGAGATTTCGTTAATTACCATTTGATTAGGATTTGGATTTACTTCCAATTAGGATTAGAATTCTCATTGTAACCTAAGTCCTACGCACTATAAATAGGACCTTAGGGTTGGTTTATTTTATGTGCCAACACCAATAGTTTAGGGAGTTTTCTCTCATTGGTTTTGGGTGGAGGTCACAATTTGGAGTCATGAGTGTGTGGCAAATTCATGGCTTATTCTTTGGCAATTTGGTGAGAATCAATTTGTGAGTTGGAAAAATTTGGGAGAATTTTCTCTGTCTATTTTGGGTTCTTTACTTGTTTGGTCAAAGGTTTGTAATTTGTAGGATTTGGGTAATGAGAGTAAAACACTCTTTTTGTAATCTCCGTTTGTTTACTGAAATTCCTCACCGTGCTTCGCTTGTGGACATAGGCTTTGCGTTTAACCACATTAAATCTCTTGTGTTCTTATTTTGAGATTGTTTATTTAGTTTTCGCCTACGATGTTGATATTTGGTATTTTGTTAGGATCTGCTTTCGTTTGCGCATACAAGTACAACAAGTGGTATCAGAGCCCGGGTTTCGGCTTGAGTTTTGCTTACTAGTGGCAGTCACTATGAAGCCTTTTGTATCGTCGATGAAAGTTGACATTGAAAAGTTCGATGATAGTGACTTTGGTATTTGGCAATTGAAGATGCGTGATTTGTTATTTCAACAAGCGCTTTTGAAAACACTAAAGGGTGTGAAGGCTTTGCCATATTCGTGGACCAAAGAGGAAAAGGAAGATGTTATGGAGCGGGCACTTGGAGCAATCCTGCTAACTTTATCTAATGAAGTCTTGCGTGAAGTTGGTAACGCCAAATCTGTACCGCAGTTGTGGCTCAAATTAGAGAGCTTGTATATGACTAAACCCTTTGCTAAACGGTTGTATTTGAAGAAAAGTTTGCATACTCTTTGAATGGATGAAGGTACATCATTTCATAAACATGTTGATGATTTCAATAAACTTATGATGGATTTGAAAAGTGTGGATGATCAAATTAGTGATGAGGATTATGCAATAACTTTGTTATGTTCTTTCGTATGAATACTCTGTCGATACCATGCTATTTGGTAGAGAAAGTCTTAGTTTGGAACATGTTAAAACCCCTTTGAATTCTAAAGAGCTAAAGAATAAAGTGTCTGACATGCAAGATGGAGTTTTGGTAGTTCAACGAAAGAATAAGAAAAAAGGCAAATTTGTAAAGAACACTCGTAGCTATTGTCATAAAGAGGGTCATTAAAAAGTAGATTGCCCTAACTCAAGGGCAACAAGATGCTATTTGATAAGTCTTTTGCTAGTGTTAACGCAAACATTGCAAAAGATTGTTGTTCTGAATTCCTCTAAAGGTTATGTGAGGAGGTGGAGGTTGGTACTCAAGCTCTTTTGGTGGAGTGCAATTCGCACTTTTGGTTCATATGTTCAAGCTTTTGTTTGGATTTTGTTTCATGTTTGTTAGTTTCCATAATGAAATTTGTTGGAGAAGGCATTGGAGGAAATTTCAAGTTTGAAGAGTTTTGGATTTTTTGAGTCTAGGGGGAGATTAGTTCTTTGAAGAATTTGGTGATCACTATTGCGCTTGTAATTTGGTACCCCAATTTGGAGTTTGTATTTGATTTGGAAATTTTGCTAATTTCTCGCCGAGGTGGAAATTGTTGGGATATACGGCTCAAAATTAGGATGATGCAAAAATTAGTTTTGTGTTACCCATTTCGTTTTGGTTTCCTATTTGAGTTTGGATTTGATTTCTTGGTTGGATTCCTTACTTGGTGGAGAGATTTTATTAATTACCTATTTGATTAGGATGATTTACTTCCAATTAGGATTAGGATTCTCATTGTAACTTAAGTCCTATGCACTATAAATAGGACCTTAGGGTTGGTTTATTTTGTGTGCTAAACCCATTAGTTTAGAGAGTTTTCTCTCACTAGGTTTTGGGTGGAGGTCACATTTGGAGTCATCATGAGTGTGTGGCAAATTCATGGCTCATTCATTTGGCAATTTGGTGATAATCAATTTGGGTTGTGAGAGTTACACACTCTTTTGTAATCTCCATTTGTTTAATGAAATTCCTCACCGTGCTTTGCCTGTGGACATAGGCTTTGCTCCGAAGCATGTTAAATTTCTTGTGTTCTTATTTTTGAGATTGTTTATTTTAGTTTTCGGCTACGATGTTGATGTTTGATATTTAGTATT